TGAAGACGGGCATTTGTGAGACCTGGGACAGACGGCGACTGGGATCTGGGTTTTGTTTCCGTTTGTTTAATTACGGTTAGAGCTGTATTCTGTGATATGTTATTCAACAATATGTAATTCAATAATAAAAAAATAAGAAACTATAAAAAAGGATCTCAAAAACAGTACATGCGCAGCAACAGGTGTTAAAGATCTGTTCATTCTTCTTAGCACTGTCCTGGGATTACTGCCATCTTCACAATCCCCGATAACCTCAGTTCTTCTAGCAAAGCCAGGTGTGCACATAGTAGTGATAAGGCTCATGCTTATAACAGAAAGGCAGAAGGTTGAAGTCCCTGAACTTGAAGTCCCTGCAGTTGTATACTTCCACACTTCAGCAAGGTGCTTGAACCTGATTGCTCCAGTTCACACACCTGTACAAATGGGGACCAGCACAGTCCGTGGGTAACCCTGAAACACACGCATGTCTCATGCAGGGGGTGAGTAATGGAGTCATGTGCTCGCATTAAGCTTAATGCTACCAGGATAAATTCTGGCCTGACGAGCCTCTAGGCTCAAGTACAGACATTTCTTTTACTCTTTTAATAGCAGACCAGTAGACTGCACGTGAAAATAATAAATATTTTATAAATGGGACTGCAGTCCATTTTTTTTTCTGGTTTATGGGAAAAGCTGCACAACTTAGTGGATGACTAAGCATCTGAGGACACTAAGTATATTGTTACTGTTTATTCAACTGCCTTAGCCCATTTCCTTGAGTCACCCTCTGTCCTGGCATCAGGCATGGTTCTTTGCCCAGATAAACAGTTCAAATTTTAAGTACTTATTTTTTCCACACAAAAGCATGCGGTAGAGTTCATACGAAACAAAGTACTCAGCATGTTCTGCGGTTGTTTTTGTTATCTTAAAAGGGAACTGCAACGCTTTTTTTATATAGTTTGAAAAAATCACTTTGGTCAAATGTACACAGTAACTAGAATCCTCAAATTTACATCACAAAAAAGACTAAATTTCCAGGTACGCGCAACACCAAATTCTGCGATTCAGAACGAGGCAACGAAACGTCCAGTGACATGAAGCAGCCCCGTTACATTGTAAACAAGCAGGCTTGTGAACACATCTCTTTTAATCTAATTGAAATGGCCTTTACTTCGAGATGGTTTTGCCGATAAATGGAACTTACTCGTTAAACCTGCAGGACATGATGACTTACAGCATTTCCACAATTCTAAATTTGTGCTTAATTCTAAATTTGTCAAATTCTTCTATACCGTTGATGAATGTATTTTGTTACCGAGACTTAATCACCGGGTCTGTGAAATTGGGTTTGAATTTGTTCCACCTTCCACTCCTAATCAAGACCACTTCCTGAACATCACCTCACCTGCACCCGACATGAATAATATTCCACAAAGACACCTGCAGCCCAGCCGTCTGCTCTGTTGCATATACTGTA